TTAAATGGCACGTGTACAGATGATCGAAAGCAGCTTGCTATTCCGGCTAAATTAAAGAACAATATGACATCACTGAAACTAAGTTTGTAAGTCTAATAAAAAATAATAGTGAGCAACACATACATACAGTACATGTAGTATGTGTGTTGCTCACTATTATTTTTTATTAGACTTACAAACTTAGTTTCAGTGATGCCATATTGTTCTTTCATTTGGCCGGAATAGCAAGCTGCTTTCGATCTGTACACGTAAGCCATTTAATTTGTATATTACACAAATGTTTCCGTGAACTGACAGTTTTTAGGTTAGAAAGGTGCAAAAGTGCAGAATCACTCCAGCATCCCCTTAAGTAGTGGAGACAACTGCGTTGTGTGCAGCAAACTTAGTGAATGTTGCAACACAAAACAATGTAGATGCCCCTACTATTTATACGACATTTTAATTTTACTAATAAGAATAATCTTCAGCGTCGCCAGCAATACTTTAACTATTGACTGAATATCTCGGACCTTGTTATACACTTTATCTATGTAATAATCCAAAAATTTCTTACTTTGTACAGTCAGTTCGCTTGAAAAGTACCAAAGCCCATGGTCGAAATGTAGCGAGTCTCAAGCACAAAAATTGCCAGACACGGTCGAGCAAACTTGATGATTTTAATTTTAATTATCTCGGCCTTAGCCGGTCTTCCCGTGTATATTTCTTTAAATTGCTTGTAGCGTTCGTAAAAAAAAAGGGATCGAATTTCGATTTAAAACCTCTCGACGTGTACTTCGCTTTCGGGCTGTCTCTCGTCGGACGGTGCTCTCCGATTTTTTATTTATTTTTACTTCTGAAATGCTGTGGCTCGAAAGGCGACCGGTCGATATCTAAGGCTGCACCGCGGCGCGATGTCCCTTTATGATTTCCTCCTCCGGTAGCTACCTCCAGTAGCTACTCTTCCAGGGCCCCCGCTTGAAAAGACAAAGCACCGCGGATGTGCATTTACGGATTCGATGCGCGGCACGGAGGAGGCGCGAGCCTAACTTGACAAAGAGTGCGGGCGTCGGAAGTGAAATGCAGCGCGATATAATGGCGCGCCAGACAAATGTCGATGTGCGAGCAACAAGTGCCGAGAGGGCCGTCTACTTCTGACAATGAGCAGGAAATCTGGCCGGCTCTCTACAGATACGTGTGCAAGCAGGGAGTGTAGGAGGGCGCGCGCGCGCGCTGGTCACAAAGAGGCATTGCAGTCACAATTAGCGATCACGCAAATTCAGGTCTCGTTCCATTCAGCGACAGCTGTACTCTATGTGAAGTCGCCCAACACCAGTTTATCGCAACGGCGACGAGCCGAAAGCGCCGCGGAGCACGAGAGCGCTTTGTCGTGTAAGAAATGTAGCGGTGGAGCGCGAATTGAATCAGTCATTCCGAACGAGCCCTGTCTTCGCAGCAGTACGTTTTACTGGAGGAGGCGGGAGCGAGCGCCGGTAAAATGAACGATAAAACAGTGTTCCGGTAACGTAACGAGAGAGAGCGATACGAGACAGCCTTTTCGTAAAAGATTCTATCGGCATCAATAAGGAACGAGATCGTCGAAGCATCGATTCGAGATACTCGAGATTCCGCAATAATGTAGATCAGTTCGAGCACACGCAACTGCCTCTTGCGCCAGAGAATTCTGAGAAGGCAAATATTTATACTTTATACGCGCACGACTTACGAATGCCACAATTATCCGGCGCATCGATCCATTTTTATTCACGGGATGCGACTGAAAGACACGCGAATAACATGTCAATTGCTCGACGTACACGTGTGTATGCGTCCGCGAGCGCGAGAGCCGGCTGCTTCTCGTGCGCGCGGGGAGCTCATGTCACGAGCATAATAATTGGTAATTGATAATTGAGGAAATACGCGGCGGATAAGGGAAACAATAGGCGCGGGCGGCGCTTTGCGCGCTGGGGAAGTAAACGATATATTAATCCTACAAATGTGTATACGCCTATCTACCTCCTCGATCGCGTTTTTACAGTTTACACGCGATACAGTCATTAAAAGAGAATTCGATATGTATCGCCGCGTCATTATTATACCGCCCGATCTATCGCGTACCCCGTAACTCTCGTTTTATATTCGTGACAGGTGTAATTTAGAAATCGAACGGGTACTTAGCGCGGGCCTCGGGCGCGAAATATCGCCGCGGGGATCGTAAAAGAAAACGCTAAACAGCCAGCGGCTCGGGATTCCGCGCGAGCTTGTGCGTTATTCGCGCAGACGTGAGCGGCAAACATAAATAATATGGAAATCAGTTTTAATTACGAGACGGCGATAAACATATTCGGAATCAACTCGCGAGCGTAGTGGTGCATTAAATAGCAAGTGCCGTTTGCCCCCTTCTTGGCAGTTAAAAAAAAATTAATTACCACTTTATATCAAAGTGTCAGTGGATACAATATTATCGCCCTTATAAAGTGTATAATTACGCTGTTACTCGGGACTGACGTCGACATCGTGATTTACTCGATAAGCATATACTAGTGTACGAAGTGGTGCTGTAAGTTTAGCAAAGCGTTGCATAGAAAACGGACAATTTTACCAGCCAACACATTTCTGCACGTTAATTGGCATTAACATCGTAAAACGTTGCAATTATGTTGCTACTTTACATGTCACGATAAGTGTATCGCAATGATACAACGGGAATGAATTGTATCTTACTTCACGAATACGTTACAGACCTTTAATGATAGACGAGCCACAATTGTGTCAAGTTACATATAGCGCTTACTGCGAATAATTAAATTTTCTCAGAGCCATGCGACCTGAAATAGATAGATATTCTCTCGGCTGTGCTACTGCAATTATTATGATTACGAATATAACGTGTATGAGTAACCAATATATTTATAAACCATTAGTTGCTTGCGAGTGGTCTTACAGCGAATGCGATTGCTTGCGCTAGTGCGCACCGAGTGCACACTAAGGCCTGTTTATAGTCAATTTTGATATTTACCTTTGTCTTAAATACATGTGCGAAGAGTGTTTAGCCACAAAATGATCCGTATGGATGCTATACCGATCATTTTACTGGCTAAATATCTCAAGAGATATTCAAGACGATCCTTAAATATAAGAATTGTGTACACTAGTGAAATACTGCGCACTAGTGCAAGCAACCGAATGCGCTATTAGAGAGTTCCATGAGATATCGGAAATCGAAGAACTATCGATACTACACGTGAAAGTGTGAGATAGCCTTCTCGGTGTTCTCCGAATTATTCTTATCGTCGTCGACCTTCTATCCGACATCGGTCCTTCACTAATACATGATTAGGCGGACATCTGATAGGAGCATATATGATTTCTCGAAAGACCGTTTCATTCCAGTCTGGCGATGTCGTTTCGCTCCATTCCAAGGTCGACTGGGTCGTTTCGGGCTGGGTGGTCGAATGTTGAAACAGGGAGTCGATTCCGGTCTTCACGGTATCCTTGATTGTCTGCCCGATGTTGTTCAATGTGTTTCCGATACCATTCCAAACGGAGCGCCTCGCTCGGAGGCTGCTGGCTTGTGTGGCGCACGTCAAAGCGACGAGCAGCAGAAGCACGCTCAGAAAACGTTGGGGGGAATAAAATCTCATTTCTGTATCTCTCCTTGTGAAGACGCGGGGAACTGTCACCTTAAACAGACCTTAAACACGTTCGACACGTTATTGTGAGATATTTCCGGTATAGCATTACGTCAGAAAATCCGTTGTCTAACATTTTCTCGTCTATTTACACCCTTTGAACTCTTTAATTTCCAAGTCTCGCGAGTCGAGAGTAATCGCGACGTTTCAACGTTAAAACAACAATCGTCTCTTAGTTTATTCTCGAGTTCCTGTAATTGAAAGGAGTAGCGCGAGATTCGGAACACTCTAATGATTACAAACGTCTAACACTCTTAAGCTAAGACCCCATAAACGCGTTGAACTGCGGCAACGTCTGCGGCAACGAATCAAAAGACTTCAATTTCAACGCAGGAAGCTTGCGGCAAGCATCTGATTGGTCGACTCGCGTTTCCGCACGCGTTGCCGCAGCTCAACGCATCTATGGAGTCTTAGCTTTCGTGGTGGACAAACTTGAGGAACTGTGATACGATGAATGTTATCAATTTATTGCGAATTTAATACGTAAATTAGACGCGAAGATATCTTTAGAGTGTTTATTGGGATGAATATTATCGCATGTCTCAGTGGTCGAATTGGTGAGACGCCCGACTAGAGTGTAGGGAAGTCCAGGTTCAAACCCTGGCTGAGGTGATATTTTTCGCAATAAATTTTCGCTAATTAAAAAGTGCCAGTTGTGTGAATTTTCCTGCACTGTTAATACGTAAGGTAATATAGGCAGTCGAGTGTACAAATGTAAAATTCTTTATGTAACGTACATTATTCTATTAAACCGTATTGTACTAAATATTATTTTAAATTGAGATATTCTGCATAATAGAGACTCGCTGTCGAAAACTTGGAGAATTTTATGCCAGCGGAGCAACTGTCGCAATATGCCGTACGATCGGAAGTTGCAAACTTGAAAATTGTATAATTATGCTTGGCGGCACCTGCGATAAGTGGAATAATAGAAGACGTATAATGGAATAGAAAATGCGTAGCCCCGTTTTCTATCTGTCCCGACTGCGTCTGAAAGTGATGCGCAATCGCGGATAGTAGGTTACGTGCCGCGGAAAACGATGAATGGGTTGTCAGAAATGAGTTGTTCGGATCACGGCGGTGGAAGGTTCTTATCGTGCGGAATGAAGTAAAATACGAGCCTGTTCAGAAACATTTATGTGCACGTGCTCAATAATGTTTCCTCGCCCCTGTCTGCGCCTAGTCACGCGATTGCGCTCTCGTCTCGTCTCTCATCGCGGATTCTCTGTATGCAATGTAATACGCGCCACATGTATCTTCTATGTATTATAATACAGCCGTAGGACGCGCGCTGCGACGCGAAACCGAATGTTACTATGGCACATCGTCCGTCTTCTCGCGAACAGATGATTTCGAGCCGCGAGCGATACGTCACAAAATCGATGTTAGTACACAAAATTGTATTGCCTAATCGACAATGTGCTCTTTGCGTCTAGACGTTCTATTTTGTAGCCAGTAAATACGTTTAAAAAATTTGTGCGAGTTGATAAATTGTACATTAAACGTTGCGCAATCGTACGTTGTCGACGAATGTTTTAAAGAGTTTTGCTTTATATAAAACTGAATGTTTCTAGATGCAAAGAGCACGTTGTAGATTAGGCGTAAGTCAACAATTTTTCCTCCTTTCACGCAGAAATATTAAGGCCTGGCTTCACCAAACGTCGCTTAGTTTAATGCATGCTCGTCTCTTTTTAAAGTAACAGTTGGAAAGAGACAAAGAACGAATTAAACTAAGCCTAAAGTTAAGCAACGTTGGTGAAACCGGGCCTAAAAGAATCTAAAATTTGGCACGGCAAAGTATAACCGTATTCCAAATATTGTTCAGAGTAATAAACAATTTAAGAAATTACATGTCCGTGTTAAGTATAATATGCCGCAGTATGCTGTTTAAAGATTACAAAGTAACATCGGTAATATTATATTTTGTGAGAGACTTTATGTTTATTCAACCTTTTTTTTCTTCGTTATTTCACATCGAAACGACAAATCTAAAAAAAAGCATTGAATGGTATCGTAAAGAATTTCTCATTTTGCTCCGAGCAGTTTACTTTTTTAATTACGTTACACAGTAATGGTAATTACAGCGTCGCGAGATATCGATCAAGCTTACGTGCCGAGGGTTTTAAGGAGAAATCAACACCGAAGCAGTTTTTGACTGAAATTTATAGTTGACCTATTCTCGAGATATTAGTTTCAATCAGTAAAATAATTGAGCAAATATTTATTTAAAAAATGCTTTAATACTCTTTAGAGAAATTTAATAAATCCAGCGCTTTAAAAGTAAAAGCGGCAAAATTCAACTTTTTGGAATAAACTTAAATTCGAATTCGACTCTATCTTGTCGAGAATTTCAACAGACGTTTCATATAACGGAAAGATTATTCAACGAGATTGACAATCTTTTTTTGCAGGCATTGGCAAGTAATTAAATTTTCTCCCCGGAGAAATTGATTTGTTAAAGAACATAGCGATCCATTATTCCCATTTCTTCGGAGCGGCGGAGGTAGCTTCAGTTTCAGCTACACGAAGGTGTTAGATAAATGAAGATAAGAAAGCTGAGGGAGGACTTGCACGTCAAACGTACGCGAGGAAGGATTCCCTACCTGGTTACGTTTTTGCACTTTGTATGCCAACGACGTTTTATATCCTGTCGGTACCTAGCTGTAAAACCCCGTAGTGCCCGCTCACAATGTAATAAACTCACTTCCACGACGAATAACGAACGTTATTCACCGGGGACGCAGCCGTGGCGAAGACTTTCTTTGAGCGACAGCGAGACGTAAATGCGAGAGCTCTTTCCGGGCCAGGTCCCGAGTTCGTCTTGCCGACGAGAACGTATCGTTTTTTTTTTAATGGGCGGGTCAAAGGGGCGTTTTATCTAAGCGCATGTGAATCTGTGTGACGCGATAGACGCTATCACACTTCTGCTCTCTCGCGTCTCCCAATGCTTTAACTTCCATTATCGGTCCGGATCCCTCGTTATTAGTTGGAGTGGTAAATTCTTCGCTATCTTCTTCTCGACTTTTTACGACGGAGACACGCGCGTATATAGTAAGACCTGGAATCCCGGCGTGTGCTCTTACACGCGCAAGACTCTTTAATCAATCCGGAGTCGCTTTTGCGTAAACGCGGGAGTGCCGATAACGCTGACTCTAATAATAACTTTTACGTAAGAATAAATGGTAAAATAACTCAATTAATTATTCAATTAACCTCAGCCTATTTTAAAGAAACTTCTCCGCCACTCTAAGAAGAGTATTCAGAATTGGATGTTAATTAACAAAAGTCATTGGGCGAAGTAAATGTTGCACTTGAAAAAGTCGTTCGCGTAAATTGGCTAAAAAAAAACATCCGCAGACGAAGCAGAAATTTGTATACTTTCGATAAATACGTTTCCCCTCTCCCCCGTGCGCACATATTTCACATTAAACGTACTTTTATGCATAAAAAAATCTGAATTATTTGGTATAGCGGTCAAAGGATTCAGGCAGGCTCGTTAAACCGTGTTACTTAACCAACGTGTACGCGATGTACGTTTTTATTATTGGATATCTCTCCCGTTTTTGCCAGCCGTAATCTGACACGACTACGGGTCTCACGTGTATTACAAAATCCGTGTACACGAACAACATGTATACCGCATATTGAAAAGCAACTAAAGCCGTGCAGGTAACTACATGTCGGTAATAACTGTGTTACAATAACCGTGCGCAACGCGCGTTCGTATACACGGGTATCGGGTTTCGCGTACACTGTACAATTTAAGCTTCCGATATCATCGAGATCCGTATGGACACTTTTTATTTTTCGTCGAGATCTTATTAAGTTAAGAGCGATAAAGACTGTTCATGATGAAGTCGTTGAACGTCATTTATGTGAAATATTAACAGCGTTGTAAACACGTGCGCACGTGTCACCTATCAAGAGGGGCGATAAAAGTGGCATAGCTGATTACACGCGACGTAACGAGCTGCAAATGCGACTGCGGAACGTGCGGGGATGCCGTGGAAGAAGAAAGAAATTAAATGTTTCTAACTCGGTTCGACGTGGACTTGATATATTCCGCGGACACATTAATAAAATGTCGCTCAAATATTGTTCATGTTGAAGCAATAACACGTATAGTTTCTACTCGTCGTCGGAAGGAGCAGTCGCATCAATGAATATTGCAGCGCGTTGCGAAGTTCCGCGCTGCGAACGAAGATCCGATAAATAATTCGAGTTCAGTCTTCCGTGGAAGTTTCTTAAAATGTTTTCGCAAACGTCCGTTCGATATGCAAAATACATTCGGGCGTATTATTTTTTTCCCCCGCCGTGCGCGCGAAATAAATAACAATTTTCTCCCATTCGCGCTTGTTTTGCAATTACTTATAGGCCAGTGAATTATAAAAGAATTATATATAAATTACTTGGGTACATACGACCTTTCCGTCATCAAAGCAAACGGAAATAGAAATCTTATGCTTGTGCCGTTTCTCGCAAATTAAAATTTGCAGTTTTGCCACAGCAAATATTGCTCGGAAACTGTGGGCATGCTAAGTGGAGTCTGCTCTTTATGGTCGTCCAACCGCAAGATAATTTCTTATAGCGCGCTTGAGAGCGAGAAATTTAATTGCCCAAGTTTGCTGCTTCACAACTTTTGTATCTTGTACGTTTCAAGTATTGCATCAAAATGTTTCGTCGTGCTCAAAACGGTTGCAGCCACGAAAAGTTCCGCGCGAGTTTTTCCACAGTGCGGCGAAGTAGTTAGTTAAAATTTTCGAGTCATTATGGAAACTCCTGCTGATACATTTATATTTTTATTTCTAATATATCGAACACGGCGACTCTCGTACATATAACGCTTTTGTATTTGTCGTAATGCGTTATAAATTTCAATAATAGAGCCTTGCATGACGAGCTTAATTAAAAATCTCGTTTCTCGCGGCAGATAATTCTATTAACAATTTTATTGGAGCATTCTCATTAAAATAAACGATCTAATTTATTTCTGAAAGTCCATGGTGATCAAGAGATTAAGTTGACGCGATGGCAGACGGGTATAATTACGTTAGCCTTAATTTAATCGCCCCAAGTCCATCGTGTCTCATAATTATGTGCTTAGTAATGACCTTAAATTATGGGACAACAAATCAGACTGTTTAAGCATGCAATTTACCAATATTTGCACATATCGATCCGCGCACCTAGGGCCATTTATATCGCTCTCGTGCACGCCGATGCAACTTCCGAAAAAGGAAATTGCATTCACCGAATGACAACGTGGAAAGTTTAATTCCTCGCTCGGTGCTTTCATTAAGTCCTTAAATAATCTACATTCACGCGCTCGCAGGTCGTTAGAATAATTTATGCGCTTTTTATGCCGTAACGGTCACCGTGGCAAATATTTCATCCATGCTGATCGTTCCTGAGAAACATAGAAAAACTGTACGGTACGAATTTTATAGCAGTGGATTGATTACAATTTTCGCTTTTCGTATTGCCGCCACGTTAATTCCTCCGAGCACATTTTTTACTTATTAAGGCTGTAATAAATATTTCGTTATACATTTCTCGAGTATTTTTATCAGCGGAACTTTGCCAGAAACATATATGTTAAATAATTTTTTCTCCTTCTCGTATTACACGAGTTAGTTTAACATCGCAAAATTATGATACCGTCGAGCGAGGAATTCACGTCTAGTTACACGTGAAAAATTCACCGTGGCAATTATCGTCGAGGTTTTATTTCCGTTAACAAAGTTTTTATCGTCGTTGACGATCACGCCTACAGTAGGAAACGTTTTTAATGTATTCACGCGTGTGCGACTCTCTTCACGTTCATCTCCACGCGCAGCGGGAATACAGAGGGTGATTTATAAAAGGGAGGATACACAACGCGTGCGATAAACTTGATTCTCCTCGGTAGAATCTGTATGGGGAAAAAATCCCAGGCAGTTAATCACTCTAGAGTTAATTAGCGCGTGATTAATTAATCGTATGTCAAGGTATCAAATCGGCCAATCTCTCGGGAGTTCGCTGACTCCAGTTCGGAACTCCGGGTTAATTAACCTTTCGTTGATCTAACGAGCGAATTACGGAAATTATCTTAGCGAGTGCGTATGAGATGAAGCTGCAACGTCGGCTCTTCGGCTCATTGTTGGACGTATTCGCGAGAACCGCAGGACTCCTGTCTCGTACAGAATTGGCATCAGTAGTAATTGCCGAATTATACTCTGATTCGCATTCAACTTCCGTCATTTCTCTTCCTGCCAATTAAGACGAAGGTAACTCGACCGACTGGGCCGCGGGGGTGCGTTTTCCAACGCGTGAAAACTACAAGTGCACGTTTATCGATGGTGGTGGAACCTTCCGGCACCGGTTCATTGTGTATGACGTAATATTTTACAATATCTACTATCGCAATATTCTCGACTGATAGTAATATTATTTGTTCATGCCGCGGGAACTACCGATTTTTCTTGTATACGTTTTGCAAAAAGCAATGTTTAGTGACATCGCAAGTTTGAATTTTTGTCAATTATGTTTTATACCGTATCAGTTAAATGCTTATGTTCGTACGTACATTGCAATTTGTTCTTTAAAATTTACCAGTGGAGTTTCTCAACTGCTTATCCACTGAGTTTACCTGAATTGGAACGGGATAGATGTCCTTCGAAGTATCCCGCAGCTCTTTCAACTATAAGAAAATAATGATTTTCTGTTCATTATTGTAAATGTTTAGTTTCAATTTTCGTATTAACAAAATCGTTTCTATGTATCCAGGAAATATTTTGTGAATAGAAAAAAATATTAAAAAAGACGAGAAGAGAAGCAATTTAATTTTAGACGTTTTATGAGATAATTATTGCCCTCGACATCTCTTAAATATTACTTAAAAACAATGTATGTTCAGAGAGATTAATAATTTAACGACTCTTGTAATTCTAATAAGTTAAAAAATGTTAAATGTTAAAAAAACTGTATTTGTACACATAATGCTATAACGTATCGTCTGAAATACGTGTTGTGTACAAGCTACGGGGTATTATATAACTAACCTGTAACATATATTTTTCTATAATCTCGACCGTGTATTTATCGCTCACCATATTAACTGCTTTATTGCGATAATATAACCGTTTTACGTGGAATTGTTTCACACAACCGCGTATTTATGTTCGTACATTTAAGCCGATCACAATTCCATTTATTAGCGCGACGTTATTATTTTTAGAAAATCTCAATTAACTATTTTATAAAAACATTAAATTTATCACTACTCCCTATTTATTTAAATTTCCAAAAGATAACAGGAGTCGTTAGGTGAAGTTTGTTTAGATAACATTTTATCCGCCTCGAAGAAGCGATAATATTTCCTGGGAGGGGGGGGGGATAGAGAGGATCCCTCTATTTTGAAGATAACTTTGTAAAAATGTGGCATCCACTTCATGCGAGGATTTCAATTTTATTTTAGCGTCTGTCGCCGACAAACGATCGATACAACGTTGCATGCGATTAGGAAATTCTCGCGAAATTAAATTTCCACGAGAATGAACGTAGTTTGTGTTACGCTATAGGTATACACTATAATATATCGCGCGAGGAGAGGAACAATAATCTTGCTATACGCGTTCGCATCCGAGCTTGCAAGATACATAACAAATTTCCAATTACACAACGCTGGGTATCAAAAGCAGAACGCGGGCCTCCCTCTCTCTCTCTCTCTCTCTGTGTCTTTCTCTCTCTTTGTATAGATAAGCAAACAATCGGTTGACATAAGCGAACAACGTATCGATAATTGCGGACCGAAAGCAGCGATGCAAATTGGGGCTAAGGTAATGCCACGAACGCG